AATGCAGGGATGGCCAGAAAAAGCATCACAAGTAACTGAGATATGTCAAAAATATTTCAAGTATCGTAATGAAATTACATATTATGGCAGTCAAATTCATATTGCGCATCCAGGCATAAATGGTTGCCAATCTAGAGCAAAACATACTGTATGATGGCCCAATATTGATAATTATATCATAGAAACAGTACGAAATTGCCATGAATGTTTGAAGAACCAGAATCAGGTAACAGATCCTATGACACTTCGAAAATTGCCAGACTTACCATTTCAGCATGTATCAGCAGATTTATTCCAGTACAGAAATCAAGTGTAGGTACCTTGTCATACAGGATGTGTACCTATTCAAAATATCCAGGAGTTATTGCACTTAAGAAAACTAAAAGTGAAGACATGAAAAATTGAGTAAAATCTTTGGACGTTATGGAATTCCCGAGATATTATACTCAGGAATTTTGCAAAAACTTACAACTTGAACCACATAAAAAGTAGCCCTAGGTTTCCACAAAGTAATGGCTCAGTAGAGAGAGCTGTACAGTTAGTGAAAAAAGTCTGAAGACCCTTATTTGGGAATATTAGCATACCGCAATACCCCACTTTCATGTGGAAACTCTCCTTCAGAACTACTAGGTATTTGGAAGAAAGAGAAAAACCAAAGAAAAACCTTAAACCAAAACTGGTTGACCATGAAAAAGTTAGGAGGAAGCAGAGGGAGGAACAAGAAGAAACAATGAAAAATTATGACTGTATAGAGATAAGTCAAAAATTTTACCAAAATTGAATGACAATGACCTAGTTTACATAAAAGATGTGAAATGTAATGGAAACATTGTAAGACAATGTTGAGAACCAAATTCATTTATGGTCCAGACCGAAGATGATGTTCTAAGGAGAAACAGAAGAATTTTGGTAAAACTACTTGAAATCAAGGAAAAGGAGAGAGAGAAAAGCGGAAATACCGCAGAGATACAAGGATATGTAGAACCTGAAGGAAGATTAAGACGAGAAAAACGAAGACCAAAAAAATTTGATGATTTTGTTATGTAAAATTTGTTTTCTTCAATTCAAACTTCTCTGTTGTTATTGTCAGTTGACATTCAAAGTTCTAGTTATTTAATGTTACATTAAACTCCGTAAATTTTCCTTTGGTAATGTACTAAATATATATTTTAAAATATTTTTTTTAAATTAATAATGATGAAAAGAGATGTATAATAATATATCAAAGATAGGGGGAGTTTGAGAGGTGATGTCACTTATGTGTCAGAGAATAAAGGTCGTATGAAACGCTCCCATAGTAGACTATAAAGGGCGTCAGAAACAGTAAGAGCAATTATGTGATCTCATCTCACCAATTTAATATTTAATTTGATTTAATTTAAAAAGTTAACCATACAATTCCATATGGCAGACTTTTTAAAAATTAAATTACTTATATTAAATCCTAAATTAAATTAAATGGCTGTTAAAACCCAACTTTAAATACTGGAGCAAGTTTCTGTTCTAAACTAAACTAAAATTCTGTTCGATAAAATATTCTACATGTCAGGTCAAATAAGTAATATGAAAGTAAAACTGTCCGAGTAATTGTTTGGTACAGCACGGAATATTTTGGAATGAATTTGTCGAATTAATTTGAATTACTATTACTCAATTTTGAATTATTTATTTTGTTTTTACTTATTGGTGGATGCTTTGTCTATATTATTCTGGGAATGTTAGTCTTGTTAAAAGATTCCTAATGTGTAATTTCATCATAAAATAATAAACCTTGGTTTTTTTTGCTTAGCATATCAATGTTCGCCGATTTCTGGTGTTCTTGAGGATTTCTTTTGTTTTATATTCTAATTAAAAGCTTTCCGGAATCGTAGTCGACTATTTTTTATGTAAAATAGTACCTACATGATATTTTTCAAAATTCAAAACATTACCTTGTTGAGGACCGTTTGCTTCAAACCTCAGACCTTTGACCGGTTGGGAAATTCCCTAATTGCCAAAATCAAGATAATTAAAAACCATAATTTTCTCTGATATAAAAACAATAATTAATTTAACTATGTATAATATGAAAATATAATGAGAACTTTTGTGCATTTATAAAATAGAGGATCATCAGATATGGTCCATCAAGTTCAAGTTGAAGGTTAAACCAAATTCGTTTCAATTAAATGTATGCAATCTCAATCCGGCCGCATGCGAATATAATGGGAAAATAATATGTAATTTCTTTTTTTTTTTTTTTTGTTGTGTGCGGAAACCATCAGCAGAATTTTGTGTTCGTACGAATTTTCCATTACGAAAAACTCGATTCGATTATTTCGTGTCCATAATCAAAATTATAATAATAACCCGTCATAGAATAGAAAAAAGCTGATGCGTACTTACATTAAGTACGTATATGTTTTGGTTTTTGCTATCCAATTTTGTTGACTATTTCACTAGAGTGTATTACACCAGCAATAAATTCGGTATTCACCTGACAATAACGCTACCTGGACAATACCAACAACATGGTATTTCAGCGACCATCTTTTGACATTGTCAAACTGGTATTTTTAATTTGAAGTTTTTATTCATAATTTTGCATTCTATTTATTTCAAAATCTTACGTGAAATAGTCATGACGAATACCACTCGAGAAAAAATTGTGTAGGCAAAATTGTTCTCAAGGTTTTATTCAAGTTTGTTGCTTTTCGGCAATTTCGCTCATCTTCAATTTCATTTAAACATAAAATTATTCTTGTATTTTTTTTCGTCCTTGGATAATATTTTTTTGGAGCAGTGGCCTGCATATTTGGTAGACTTTCTCTGCATGCCCCTGCTAGTGCCATAATTCAGGCGGTGGCGCTCTATACCAAAATACCAAAAATGAATTAAAAGTCAATAGAAATTACCGATATGTTTTCAATCGGAAGTTAGCTTTTTCATGAAAAGCCATCAATTATCAGATTCTTGAGAAAGGGAACATGTTTTACTTAGGGCGAAATTATGGGCCAAATGGTAAGTGTCTGGTTATTACCTAGCAGGTACTTTCTATTATCTAGAGCAAAGAAAGTACCTGCTAGGTAACAACCAGACGTTTACCAGTCAGTCCATAATTTGGCCCTTAGTTTTTCTGATTTCAACATTTGAAATAATGTTTTTTTTTTTACGCTTTATTGAATAAGTATTGTCACGCAGGCCAGAGTCGTGACAGAAATATTGGATCTATTTATTCAAAAATCAAAAGTCCAATTAATACAGCAATAATTTATTCAACGTTACTAAATATAACACTCTGACACTAATTACTTCACTAATTAACTCAATCAACTTGCCTCTTACAATATTCACTATCTAAAACGTATAACAGCCAATCTCAAAACTAAAAACTACTAACTAATGCCGGTCTTTATATATCCGTAATCCATTCCTGTAAAATCCAAAATAACGTAATAGTCTTTTTCCCGAATAACGCTGTATACGTTAGTTGTTAATAATGCCAAAAAAGAGCATAATATATGATGTTACCTCTATGGAGTCTGCCATAAATAAAGTTAAAAGTAATACATCATCACTTAGAGCAGCCGCAAAAAAATATGGCGTGCCAAAATCAACATTGGATTTTAAATTAAAAAATCTTGGGCACAAAGGTACTTGCGGTCCATCGCCTCTTTTGACTTTAAGGGTTTTATCTAAGCTAGTAACGTAAGTCAATTGACAGTATTTATATTGATTTGTATTTGAATTCAACATCTCTCCCTCTAGGTGGATAGAAGAACTTGCAAATCGTGGATTCCCAAGAAAAAAAGATGACATTTGAAATAGTGTTCAACAATTCTTGATAGAGAATCCACGACCCAATCCGTTGAAAAATCACAGACCTGGTGAATTTTGGTTTAAGGTACATACAACTTAATGCCATTTGGTTTCTTCAATAATTTAATTTCACCCATTTACCTAGGCTTTCCTAAGAAGGCATCCCACAATTGTGCAGAGAACTAGCGAAGCTGTTAGTTCAGCAAGTGCTTGTATATCAGAAGCAGACATCAGAAAATGGTTTGATGAGATAAGAGGTTATTTGGAGTCTAAAAACATAAATATAGATGATCCTTCTCGAATATATAATGGGGATGAGACAGGGTTCCAAATCTGCCCGAGCACTGGTAAAGTTTTTGCTGGAAAAGGCGTAAAAAACGTTTATGCTGTAGATAAAGGATCTCAAAAGGAAAATCTTACTGTTATGTTCTCTTTTTCTGCCTCTGGAATGATATGCCCCCCAATGATAATTTACCCATACAAAAGAATTCCTGAAAAAATAGCAGCAACAGTTAATTCCACTTGGGGAATAGGCCGATCTGATAATGGTTGGATGACTTCAGAGACATTCTATGATTACATAAAAAACATATTTCATCCGCATTTAGTTGAAAACAATGTGCGTTTTCCTGTTATATTATTTCTGGATGGACATAAAATCTGTTTCTTTTTTAAAGATAAAAGTCAAAATGACATTATGTTGGCAATACAATGTAAAATTGTCAATGCTATCAAATTTTTTATGTAGAAAAGGCTTGTGCTGCCAACAAAGTTACTAATTTTTGACTTGGGGAATTATTTAAAAAAAAAAACAGACTTTAAGTCCCACTTGACTTATGTCATATGAAGTTATTGCTTTGTATCCGAATGCAACTAGAATTTTGCAGCCATGTGATGTTGCCGTATTTAGACCTATAAAAATTGGCTGGAAGAAAGCTGTTAGGGAATTTTATGAAAGCAATCCAGGGCAAGTTCTTAACAAAATGACCTTCGCTCCACTTTTAGAAACTGTAGTGAAGAATGTTGTTAAGCCAGAGGCGCTTCTAAATGGATTTAAAGCATGTGGATTATTTCCCTTCAATCCCAATGCAATAGATTATTCAAAGTGTTTGGGGCAGGTTAATAAACCTGTGCCAGATGTGAGTAGCTTTCTTGTAATTTCTTCCGCTTGAGATTCACGCGTAATTTGTTAAAATTTTCAGGAGACGCATGCCCATCCCGATACAATGGATAATAAAACTTTTACCAACTTCATAGGGAATGAGCTTATAAGAAAATTCAAATCATTTGATGCAATATTAGTTAAAGAAGGATTGAACAATGAATTCCTTATACTTTATCAAATGTGGAATTATTTCGGAAAGCCTGATAAGGAAGACAATGCCGTAGAGACAGTTAACATGGAAGTTATGGAGTGTGAAAAGGAAGAACATTCCAGTGAATTGGAAGAGGCCAGTACTAGATCAGAAGCGTTAGTTGAATTAAAAGAGCCCGGTCCATCAAAAAATATACAAAGTGATGCCAAACTTTCCAAAATCACTGGGGATTGTGAAAATTCAGATCCCTTTAGTATATTTATTCATACTCCAGGAGGCAGACCAAAACCAAAAACTAGGCCTTTACATTTGGAAAATATCAATGTTGATGAAAGTATTAGCATTAATCCATTAGATCCTGTGAAAGAATCTGCGAATTCAACTGATATTGCAAGTAATAATTTTGGAAATATAAAATTGCCTCAAACTTTGAAGACACCTTCAATAGATAATAATATTACTGAAGCAGCTACTTCATTATTACCATCAACAAGTAAAAGATGTATCAGTGATTTCCTTACGATGCCAGACAAACCCCAGCGAAAGAACAAGCGCGATGTAGAGCGCGTTTCGTTTGCCATAACTTCTAGATCTTACCAAGAAAATTTTGAAGCCAAACGCGCGCTTAAATTAAAAGAGGAGAATGAGAAATTGGAGAGGAAACGATTAAGAGAAGAAAAGGCTGCAGCCAAAGCCAATTTGGAAACTAAAAGAGTTCGTAAGTCAGCTGATGGTATAACTAATGGCAATTGTTTTGTACGTACAAAACAACTATATAAAAATAGCCATTACTTTAAATGTGATAGTTGCAAAAAATATATCCATCGTCACTGCGTTTCCAAGAAACACAAAAACCACGTTCCCGACTTAGAAGATGATGATCTGTTCATGTGTCACATTTGTTACAAGGAGGAAAGCGATGATGGAGCCGATAGTGAAGATTTTGATGAGAATGAAGAGGAAGATAGCTTGGAAATAGATCAAAACAAAAACGACAATGATTTAAATGATAAAAATTCAGACAAAAAGAAGAAAACTGATGAAAGTGAGGAGGAAGAAATGGATGAATTATTCTCTTTGTATAAAGATGAATGTGCCAAATATTAAATATTATTAGATAGATAAGAATGATAAAATCGTATTTTAAACTGATAATAATATTCATTTTTTGTGTTGAATAAAAGAAAAATAAACCATCGTTTCCATGTCCAATAACTAAATTGATTTTGTCCACTCACTAAAAAAAAATGTCCAATGACTAATTTTTTTGTCATGTAATTTATTATTTGCCTGTACAAAAAAAAAATATCCATCAAAGAGTTAATATCAATAAAGATAATTGAAGGCCATATAATAAGTGTCATTTTAGATATTTGCTCAAGTCCGTAGACCTGAAAATAAAATTTGGACACGTTATCGATTTTAAAAAAAATCTTAAGTGCCGAATAAATGGGTGGTTTACCCTACATAATTTTTAAAAAACCGAATAGTTAAAAAGACAAGTACTTTGTATAAAATAAAAAAAGAAATACAATTTTACAGTTTAAAATATAAAATATCACAAAAAGTTATCACAAGTCTGGCCAATAGTTAAAAGGAACAAAATATTTACCACTAGAGAGGAACAAAATAGTTATCAGTTATGGGTATGGTACATCTTAATTTAGAAATTCATTAATCGTGTAAGGCTCTATTGAAGCAAGATGCTGAAATAAAAGTTTTTCAAAACAGTTTTCTGTTATTTTTAAATTTAATTTTTGGGGAAGAAAGTTGAAGAGTTTTATACACATGTAGGTGGGTCCAGTCTCAGTGAGAGCGAGCCTGTGCAATGGATAGTTTATGATAATTGACCTGGTTTTATGTTTGTGATCTGGGAGATAGTTGAGAAACTTATCAAAGTTTCTATGTAGGAACATAAGACATTCATAGATATAGATACCTGGTAGTGTAAGAATGTTTGTTTTTTTGAATTGTCCTCGGCAAGACTCTCTGTAGGACAAGTTAAGAATTTGTCTCAGTACACATTTTTGCATAGCAAACGCATTTCCTTCGCATCCTGCTCTACCCCAGAATATTATTCCATAGCGTGCAAAAGAATAGAAAGTGGCATAGTAGACAGATAATAGCGATTTACGGTCTAGGAATTGTTTTAGAACACGGAAAGAATAACAGGTGCTACTAAGTTTTTTAGAAAGAGCTTGCTTTTGTTTGTTCCATTTTAGGTGGTGATCTATTTCGATTCCCAGAAATTTCACACTATCTGGAAGCCTTACATTTTGGGAAGAAATATTTAAACCTGTCGGATGGTTATTAGCTGACTGAAGGGTATGAAAACTCATAAAGATGGTTTTATCTGTGTTTAACAATAACAACAATGAATTACTGTTATACCAGTTTTGGGTTCTACCAAGACAGAAAGTTGCTCGCTCTTCGAGTTGCAAGAGGCTATCTGCAGTGACATTGACATTTGTGTCATCAGCAAAATTGACTGTCTTTACATGATCGCTGGTTATATGGGACGAAAAATCGTTTATATATAGGACAAAGAGAATCGGGCCAATAACACTTCCCTGTGGGATGCCCCTGATGACCTCCTTGCTCTCAGAACAAACAACCCTCCCATCCTTTTGAATAGTTACCATCTGTGTTCTATTCGCAAGATATGACTCTAGCCAGAGCAAAACAGAGCCTGTCACTCCATATATTTTGAGCTTGTCCAAAAGAATCTGGTGATCCAGACTGTCAAATGCTTTGGACAGGTCCAAGAAAGCTCCAAGAGTGTTTTTGCCATCCTCAAGATTTTCGTAAATCTTTCCAATAAATTCAAAGATAGCAGTTTCAATTGATCTGTTCTTTAAAAAACCGTGCTGAGAATTGCTTAGCAGATTATGCGTGAAAAAAAAGTCTGAGAGCCGATTACACATTGCAGTCTCAAAGATTTTAGAAAAGGAGGGTATAAGACTGATCGGTCTATAATTCTCAAATTTTTTTGTATCTCCTTCTTTATAAATTGGAATGACCATTGCTTGTTTCAGCTTCTCAGGAAAAATACCAAATTGAAAAGAGTTGTTGATAATTAAGCACAGAGGTAAGCAAAGTTCTGTAGCACAAAGTTTTATGAGGTGATTTGAGATTCCATCAAATCCAGAGCTTTTTTTATTCTTTAGATTTTTTATTATGTTAAGTACTTCCTCTGGTGATACTTGCACTAAATTTATGTTTGAAAAATTTGGTGAAATATTTTGTCTTGGATCATGTTTGCAATTTATTTGGCCTACTGCATTGCTGGCGGCATTTAAGAAGAAATCATTAAGATCATTACAAACCACCTCCGGGTTTCCCTCAAACATACACCTATATGTTTTTTGATTTTTGTAACAGCCCTTTATTTCATTCACAACCTGCCAAACAGCCTTTGATTTGTTAGCCGACCTCAAAATATTATTTTGACTATTTCACTAGAGTGTATTACACCAGCAATAAATTCGGTATTCACCTGACAATAATGCTACCTGGACAATACCAACAACATGGTATTTCAGCGACCATTTTTTGACATTGTCAAACTGGTATTTTTAGTTTGAAGTTTTTATTCATAATTTTGCATTCTACTTATTTTCAAAATCTTACGTGAAATAGTCATGATGAATACCACTCGAGAAAAAATTGTGTAGGCAAAATTCTTCTCAAGGTTTTATTCAAGTTTGTTGCTTTTCGGCAAATTGCCAAGCAACAAACTTTCATACCTTTCGAAAATTTTGCCGACAAAATTTTTTCTCTTGTGATATCATATATGATAAAACATTTTATATCCTACTGAACTATTAAAACCATATAATACCTTGGTTACGATAATCATAAACAGGGTCTTAACTCCCAAGGGAGTTAAGGATTTCCATAACTCCCGCTTTTACCTTGAATAGGTAACACTTTGACAAAAAATAGAAATTTTGATTTATGGCTTATTCCTTTATAAAAATAGACAGAATACAGTAAATTCAGTAGGATATAAAATTATCTATGTACCACGGGAATTATCAGGAGTTAATACACACGGGCAATTGGTGTCCCTCGGGCCGGAGGCCCTCGGGACACAAACGTTGCCCTAGGGTATTAACACCTGCATAATTCCCTTGATACATAAATAACTATTACGTGAGTTTGTTAACAGGTAACATTATATAACATGTATATCTATTTTTGGTGACAGTATGTCTCCCTGAACTGGGGGTAAGTATTACTATGATCATAAAGTATATCAAGTTGCTTTTGCACTCCATGACCTCAGGGGAACTATGCCAAATTATGTTGTTTCTCTTTCTTTTTTTAATAATTTTCTCAGGAAAACTTTCCTCATAAGCCAGAGCCATTTTCCATAAAAATGTCCCATTGCCCATTTATGTCTTCTGGTTTACAGCACAAGATATCAAGCCAATAATTTTTACTTAAAAGATTTTTGTTGTCCTCAATAAAGATTCTTTTTTTTATAGTTTCAGGGCTTTTTTGTTTTGCTTCTGCAAGAAAGGACATTTTTTGACCAAAGTGGTCAGAAGTATGAAGATTGAAAACCTCAGATGTATAATTTTGTATGTTGGTGTAAATATTATCAATGCAAGACTTTTTGTCCCCATCCACACGTGTATATTCTTTTATTGATGGTGAAATATTAAAAGTATTTGAAAAGTTAGTACATTTTTGTGGAAACTTTTTGTTTTTCTGGTGTTAAAATATCTACATTAAAATCCCCTGCAATGAAGACAAAAGAGTATTTTTTTATCAAATTACCTAAAATTAAATTTAATTTTTCAGTTGGAACCTCTTGATCGTCAGTCCGGTAGACATTCATGATAACATAGCAGGAGCCACCCATCATAAATTCAACAGCAGAGCATTCAGAAGTAGCTTTTTCAGATAGTCTTGATATATCTTCTCTCGTTTTACATACAACATCTTTATGTGTATACATATATAGCTGAGCCTCCATGTTCATCCTTGTTCCGGCAAAAGCATGACATAAGATTGAAGTTGGTGATATTGTATGCTTTGAGCTTTTCTTTGTTTTTCCAGTGTTCTGTTATACACAGGGCAATGCAGTTTTCATTTTCAGCTGCTAGAGCATTTAAGTGGTTTATGCTCGTTCCAATAGATTGGACATTGAGGTGAAACAGACTGTATGAACTAGTGTTTGTTAGTTGATTTTTACCGCTGGCCTGTATCTGCCGATGCGTCTCTGTAGATTCTGAAAATGGTTAATGACAATTCCCCTTGGCCAGAGGTTGGGTGTCATATAGATGGCTACTTCTTCCAGCACAGTGAGCTTGAAAGAGCTTTTCTCTTTGTCTTTTTTTGTCTTCATTTTTCCACGCATAACATTCAGATTTTTGCCCTTCAAATATTCAACTATTTCCCCCTCAGTGGTATTCGGGTAGTAGCCAGAAAGGAAGAGGGATCTCCTTGTTTTTGATGATTTTGATTATTTTGATTTTTGACATTTACCATTGACGCAGGCTGTCGATCGTATTTGGTTTATTGAGGTGGGGCAATGGTGCGTTCGAGATTTTTGCAGTTTGTGTTGCTCGATTTGCTGGCTGTTTCCAACGTTGCCAGTTCTGTTTCGTCGCTTGACGTGTTTGAGATCACGTCACCGGCAGTCTCTTTTGGCGCCAAGGACTGTATAACCTCACTTTTGGAATTTTCATGATTTTCCTTATATTTTTTGTATTCCTCAGCCAGCAGGCTATTCTCTTCCAGAAAAGCGTTTTTTTCCTCCAAGAGCTTGATAACCATGTTGAAAAGGTCTTTTATTTCCTACTGAACTAATATAACCATATAATACCTTGGGTTACGATAATCATAAACAGGGTCTTAACTCCCAAGGGAGTTAAGGATTTCTCTATAACTCCCGCTTTTACCTTGAATAGGTGAAACTTTGACAAAAAATGGAAATTTTGGTTTATGGTTTATTTCATTAAAAAAATGGACAAAATACAGTAAATTCAGTACCAAGTAATAAAATTATCTATGTACCACGGGAATTATCAGGTGTTAATACCCACGGACAATTTTGCCCTGGGGTATTAACACCCTCATAATTCCCTTGACACATA